CTTCAGCTGATCCATATGCTGCAGCCAGAGTTCTGATGAAAATTAAAAAGAAAGATCATATACCTCCTATCCAGGCTTCTCTTCATTGGCTTCCTGTTAAATCCAGAATAGAATTTAAAATCCTCCTTACAAATAAAGCCTTAAATGGCCAAGCTCCATCTTATATCAGAGATCTGATTGTTCCTTATGTTCCTAACAGAGCACTTTGCTCTCAATCTGCAGGTTTACTAGTGGTTCATAGAATTTCTAAAAGTAGAATGGGAGGCAGATCTTTTGGTTATCAGGCTCCTCTCCTGTGGAACCAACTACCAGTTTTAGTCCATCAGGAAGACATCCTGTCTACTTTTAAGGGTAGGCTTAAAATGTTCCTTTTTAATAAAGCTTATTGTTAGAGGGGCTCATATTATCCTGAGCTATCTGTAGTTATGCTGCTATAGGCTTAGACTTCTGGAGGACATAGAGACCCCTATTTCATCATTCTGCTTCATTCTGTCTCAATACTCCCACTCTGCAGTATTTGTTATTTGAATCTCTAATGTTATACCCTCTCTGCCTTTTCTCATAGTAGATTAATCTGGCCTGTTCCTATTTGGCTGTGACTCCATCCTGGAGAGGAATATCAGCCGTGCTGCTGCCATCAACAGCTTTCTTTAAAGATGTTTGAGCTTGGCCTATCTTTCAGTCTAGTCCTGTTTCTCTGACTGTGACAGGCTGGATGTGCTCTCTTCGTCCTGTGACGTGGGAGCTGGCTCGGAGCTCGTCTGCCTGGCTGTGTGTTTCTTGGACAGGGCTGGGTGTGGATCTGGTTGACAAGTTCCTTTGTATCTGTGCTTCTTTCTGAATGTCTGCTTCTGTCTCCTTGAACCCCAGTAAGGAGATTTGATTTCGGCTGAGATCTACTCATCTTTTCATTGACTTGAAGCAGTTCTTGTCTTTGTGTTGCATTCCTAAAGCATGGCTCTGTCACCGTCATGTTCCATAAAAAGGATGGTGTTTTTAGGGTGTTTATTTCAACAACCTATTGGACTTTAGTTTATAACCCCAGTTCTCATCTAGACGGATAATTTGTGTTGACATCTAGACGGATACCCTTCCTCTACATCTTTGAATATTTTTTCAAATGATGGATTGAACCATACTTCTGGGATTTCCGCTTTGCTCTTTGTTTGCTAATGTTTTAAGACAAACCTGAGGAAAGAACAAAAATTGGACCGTTTACTAGTAAGGTCATTTCTACAGACAAATGATTTTCACAACCACATCCCACTCCATGTGGCACTCTCTTAAAATCCCAGTAAAACAAACAGAAGTTTGTCTTTTGATAATTTGTTGAAAAGTGAAGACTGATTTAAATAGTAGCTGGCTAACTCAAGTGTTAAGTCACCCATCCTGCAAACAAGAAGCCTTGGTTCGTATCCCAGCTGGGAGGAATGATCTGCCAGTGTGGGTCCTTAGGCAAGACCCTTCATGCTAATGCCTGCTTTGGGGAGTGGTGGCCTAGTGGTTGGGGCTTTGTGTTTGGAATTCTGAGGCCCCACTCCCACGGACTGCCACTCTGGGTCCCGGAGCAAAGACCCTTAACCCCCACACTGCTCCCCAGGCGCCGCACAATGGCCTCCCACTGCTCCCCGGGCGCCGCACAATGGCCTCCCACTGCTCCCCAACAGGATGGGTTAAATGCAGAGAGTTCAATTTGTTGCTCTTTACTTGTGACAGTGTAATGACAATAAAACGTTCGCAAAATAAAACATAAATACATATGCAAATTACTGCAGTTAGATATCAGTTGGAGTTAGAATATTTTCTCTTTTTTATTTTTAAGAAATGCAAGTTTTGCCACATTATTAGCATTTCAATGCACAGCCAGTCCTGTTTAAAATTGCCTAAGGCCTGTGGCGCACATGGCATGAAAACAACTCTGGCACATTCGCACAATCCCCAGATGTTTGGCTCCCACAAAGGGGAACAAATTGATTAATTGCCTTCATTAGAGATATCTGCTTGTTCTAAACATGTAGACCTGTTGATGACTGGAGAGCTGTTCCCTCTCCTACTCTTCCTCAATCCCATCCCCCTCTTTTTTTTTTTTTTTTTCTAAAGTGTGTGCACATTCCACCAGTCCCATGCCTGTGTGCTCCAGACCGCAGTTAAACAGTCCCTTCTGGAGTGTGTGATGGCATGTAACGCTGCCTCGGGCCATGCTAGATGCCTGCTCCCACTTAAAACCGAAGGCAGAGTGTTCATTAACAGATCTGAGTTCAGTGAGAGACAGGAGACGCTCCTCAGTGAGGGTTTGGGTAAAGCCGTTATTTCAAGTTCACACTCAAGTTATTACATATCTGTTTAAAAAAGAATTCTCCGGAGGGTGTTGGACAGGAGGAGATTTAATTTTGTAAATCCCTTTATAAAAACGTGTGACATTCCAAGCAGGTTCAAACTGCTACGCCTTAATCCAGAATATGGGAAATGGGAATCTTTAAACAATAGTAGGATGAAACAGAAGGGAGGTACTGAAGAATATGAGTTAGAAAAAAAAATCTGTTGCCAAAAACAGCAGTAAACGTGCCAAGCTGGGCCTAAGCTCAGGCTTTACACAAAACTAAAATACGGTAAAATCACATCAGTGTCGTAACCTGGGAAGTGTTTAAGAACTTTCCCTTTAAATTAGGTTCACATGGTAAATAACTAGACGTTTTTTTTTTGTTTTTTTTTAATAAACATTTCTCAGGTATTTTTTAGAGCAGGTTTGGAAGCTAACGAGTTCACTGACTGTAGGATCTGAACAGTCTGCTTAAATAGTGAGGATACTATATGATATATCATTTTTTATTTTTAATTGTAGACATATTTTAAGGTGATCAGCTTTCGTATGTATTTTAAGAAACTTAAGCAATGTTTCTCTGATAGGTAGCATAAGCCAAGAAGCTTCTGCTCTCAAGAAAAATGCAGACAATTAGATACATTTTAGATTAGAATTAAATGGAGATAAAAATGTTTTCTCTAACAGCTTCCCTCTTAAATGTGATTAGAGTGGAGCCTATTCTGAATTTCCCCCCCTGTGGGACAACATTTCCTTCCTTTCTGAGCTATTTGTTTACCACTAATTGATGTAATCTGAGAGGTTGCTTGGAGCAACATCAGAGTCTAGAAGTGGCCCTTTTTTCAGGAAAAAGTTTAACTTATTAAAGAAGTAGGACCCTAACTAAATTAACATCTCTGTTGGATAATGTTTCCCACCTCATGCATGAAGCTGTTGCTGAACTGGAGGGCTCCTTCATTGACAGACAACTGCACCCTGAATGCACCAGGGAGCGTTATCACAGTTCCTTCCTCCCAGCAGCTGTATTGTCCAGATACAGAGTATTATATTGTAAAACACTGTACAGTACAATATTGGTTGTATTTTCCTATCTGTTATTTTTATTCACTTTTCTAAGGTGTACATTGTGTAACCACTTCCACTATCTAACCTTTACTGCTGTAAAAATAAATAAAAGGATAAAATAAAAGGATGGCTGGATTTTCTATGGTATTCTACTCTCAAGTTGTTAGATAATGTGACCTCTGAGCTAAGCTTAAGAAACAAAAATCTTAGAGGGCCTACATCATTGCTGGATCCTTGATGCAAAAAAGAAAAAACTTGCAGACCTTACTCGTTGGCTGCAGTAGAAACAAAAGCACCACCGAAAGCAGCACCTCGTTGCAAATCTTACATTGTGTTGCTTGCATATATATATGCAAGTACTTGTTTGAATCTCTTAACTTATTGACTGAACGTTCCTCTGTTAGTAAATGTATATGCACAGGAAAAAAAACCATAAAAGGTAGCTTTTTCAGTAAAATTAAGAGCAGAAAAGGATTCATTTAAAAAGTTTTTTATTAAAAAAAGGTTACCAAAGATGAACATGTTTAGCTAAGGGGTTCAATATACAACAACTTCAAGAGAAATAATTTGTGTTGACATTGGATATCATCAGATTTTTGTTCAGGTAATGCAGATGCTTTATAATAATAACACATGGAGCACCTTTATTTACTGAGTATTTACAGTATTTGGGTGCCTTTTGTTAACGGTCTCGTAGTACCCTTATATGGCTAGGAGGGACATTCGTACACTGTTGGCGTAGTGAGCAGCTTGCTCGGGTATTTTGACCTGAACTCTTTGCAGTTTTTTACTTGTGGTCCCACTCAAATATTAAAGATCATCCAATAAATTTTGTTATCAAAAAAGATAACTAGAGTTAATACAACTTTCTGTTTTTAAATGCAGATTTTACCTCTCAAGGGGAAAAAACAACATCCCAAACAACCTGGCTGCATGTGAAAATATGCATTTTCACATTTGAATCAAATATGGTTAATCTAATTTTTGGGTCAGTTTTACTAACCCAAACCTCCCTAACAACTATGGATGAAATTTTGATTTCAGAAGTGGGAGGATGTAAGTATTTTTTACATCAACTGATCAACTGACAACTTTCAGTCTAATTTATTTTGTCTCCTGTTAAGCATAGTGAACAGAGATAAACTTTGACAGGACAGGGTGGCAAACCATAGTGTGTCCCTGACTCATCTAAGACGTCACAAAACACCATGTAAAGCACTGCAGACCTCATTTACCTCAGTTAAGGTCAGTTTCCTCTGGTAGCTTTTATAAGTTGTACATCTTGTTAAGGTGTAAACTAACACAACATTTCTGAAAAATAAAATAAAATAAATCCTGGGATCATGTATGTGTTTTGGCCAAATGCTGCAAAACCATATTTTAGATTAAGGGGGCATTTACATTGTCTGATTAGGCCAGATTTAAAATACTTTCATTTAATCAACCGAAGCCTCTTTTTAAAGCTGCTTTTGTATTTACTAAGGTTTATCTTTGTCTGATATTAAAATGTATTTGATGATCTAAAAACATTTCAATCTAACCAACAAAAAGAAAAAAAACCTTATGGTAGGAATTCTTTTTACAACACTGTATATTCAGTGAAATGAGCCCTGCAATACAAGACAAATATTCTGTTTCCACGCAGCATGGCTTTCTCTCCTACAGTTCAAATAAAGCAAAAAAAAAAAAGATATATTTTTTAGAGTATTGCTGGTATTCTAGTGAAAAAAAAAAAAAGATCTGTCAACATAGTTAAAAGAGACTCCATTTAACCATGACAGAAGATCTGAAAACCGAGTGCCTTCCTTTTCCTCTTTAAATCCCTCACTTGAGTCTGTGATTGTCACTGCAGGGCCTTCTAGTGTGTCAGACGACAGAGGCACCCTGCTGGCTGCTGTTAAGCGCCGTCACCACATCGGATCTCTCTATGCGGGCCAGCGCCGAGCTCAGCAGTCCCAGAGTAGAGCCCTCTTTCTGGGCCCAGTTAGACAGGAGTGTGTGTGTCGGGGCCTCGCCACGTCCGAACAGGTCCAGCTGTTCGGGTTCATAGCCCAGCGCAGCACCAAGGTGCCTCCATCCGCGGCCGCTCGCCTCCTGCAGAAGGCGCTCCACCTCCTCCTGCTTGTTCGGTGGCAGGTTGATGTAAAGGCGGTTGTCGTACTTGCTGTCTCTCTTAGTACCTGTGTGAAAAACAAGCATTTCTTAGCATAATGTTGCATTTACTGCTTCACTAATCAGGATGAATAATGAAAAAGAAAGAGTGTCTGATTACAAGGTGTTTATTTTTAATATTTAGATTTCACTTTGAAACGTATATCATCAAGCTATGCTTTAACCCACTGTTGTTTTCTTTCACTGCCCACCAGTGTTTATCTGTGGGCACAGTCATTTCTTTCTCCCTTGTTTACATCGCTCTGCCTGCTGATGTTTGCCTGCCTACTTGTTTAGCTTTACTTTGGTTGGAACTTGTATATACATAACTCCTCAGTGACTTCAGAAGGGTCGCACTATTTCCACAGAAACAGAACTTGGGTCCTGGACCTTGGTGTACAGCTATCAACTGCTCTTGGAAATATGAGTTCAAAAAAACATGAAATACATTTTGCACTATTCTTTTAAAACAACATTGAATGCTAGACCTGTAACTTCCAGGTTTAGAGCCCCTGAAAGCAACAAGCAACACAGCAGTGTTGCAAAATGAAACGGTCTTAAAATATGATATCAGACCACTTCGGACCAGCAGACTAACAATTGCTTCATAGATACCTAAAAATATACTTTAATTTCACATTAAACCAAAACTTTGATCAAATCCCAGAGTTGCCTTAATGTAACCTGTATTAGTTCGAAATTAGTGAAAACAATGTTACAAATAACAGTTCCTATAACATGTAACTGCTTCCATTAAAAATGTGGCACAGAAGCTAATTTCTCCTGACCACTCTCTAAAGTGAGAAAGACCGTGAAACGTTCAAGTAAGTTAGGAAATATTAACTCCTTTGATTATCCCAATGCCTAAAGCAACAGTAAAAACTGAAAAGCTTTAAACAGCATAAACAGTTACCAACACAGTCAGAAAATAAAGCAAGTATTAATTGAAAGCTTTTTCCTTTATTTTTACCCAGGGGGAGATCAGTTGTGCAGCTTGTTGGTTTTAGGAACCGAAGGAGAAAAAGCTTTTACGGAAGAATTGGTGCCTCAATAAAAAGACTTGTTAATGGTTTAGTATTTTTCTCCCTTTAAAACCCCAGTAGATCTTTATGCCAGTAACCTGCAGAGGTTTTATCATATTCACTATAAAAAAAAAATGTTTTCATTTTTGTGCATAATGATGCACTGCTTGCATTGTTTATTTGTCAGACTATCTATTATTTGCCATTTTCTTGCATTTCTTTTAAAGGCTCTGACTGTAAATCAGTGTGGGCCTGGAAATGCCTGTATTTCTAAGTACCTACTGTATATCATAGTTTTGTTTTTATTACATAAAACTTTTACATGGTTATATGCACTGTTATTATATTTATTTCATTAATTACTTGCATAAAAAATAAACTCAAACGTTTTCAAAATGCCAGAAAAACTCCGCACAAAGTATGAGAGGAAAATAGGGGCTTACAACAAAATGTGTTATTTTGATGCACCTATTAGAAAACATCTGATAGATAGAACAGAGGGGGGCATTGGGAAGACATTTGTATCAGAGGAATTTGGATGACTAAGAAAACAGCACAGCTTAGCTGAGGAATGTAACGATATAAAGATAAATCTGATCAACACCATCTACATCACTAAATCATCTCAAGCACATGACCCAAATCAGCAGTGCGTTGCAGCAATAGCTACTGGAATGGTGTTTACTGTCCAGAGCCAACCATAAAACTGGAAATCTTTATGGAGATTTCAAATCAAAGTACTGCAGACATGCAAAATTTCATTTTTAAGAGGTATCAAGCTGATCAAGATATGGTACTACAATTATAATTGAAAGTTCTACACTTTCATGAGACAATAGATAAAATGTCTAAATGTCTAAAAATGAATGTTGTTATATAATTGTAGAGACAATTTATATTGATACTTAAAACAGATGAAGAAAACAAATTAAAGCCACAAGTGTCCTAGGACGGCCCTTGCAGCTCAGCGCCGCTGGGCCTATCGCGACCATCCCACGCACCGCCTTATTTGTGTGTTTTCCGAGCCAGATAACAAGTTCCACACTTTACCACTAGACAGTTGTATGAGAATGTCACAACCTAAGCTTTGGTCAGGAAAGGTTGAACTACAGTTAAAAGATAAAATCTGGCACAAATTTTACATTTCAAACAGATGTTGTCACTTCCTGATTGAGTTGCTGGGACTAAAGTGATCAGCAGTCTGTGGGTAGAAAAATATGATGATGATGATGATGATGATGATGATGATGATGATGAATCAGGAAGATATACCAGTTCGATCAATCAAAGGGGCACACTTAATTAAAGTCTAAATTAGGAGTTCTTAATAGTGACCCAGCAATTGCTCATCTAGATTAAAGCAAATCAGATCATGCCTTCTGATTTAGAGCCAAACATATTCATATGGTAACAGATAGAAATTGGCTATTCTAACACCCTATCTGGTAAAGTCAGCAGATCTTTAGAAAGGGGATTACAACTTTGTCATAGATTTTTTTTTTCTGTACCATCAGACACAGATTGTAACCAATAGAAAATCAAAGATCTGAGGTTTGAGCTCACAACCACATGAGTTCCAACCCATCACTCTATCTATCCTTAAACTAAAAGCTCTGTGGAAGACACAGCTGTCGCCCCAGATTGTCAAAGGTACATTATATCCACTGTCTTTAGAAACTGATATATTTGGGGGGAAATCCTAATATTTAAATGGTTTGAAATTAAATTATTCAAACATTTCCATATGATAATAATTATATATTATTCAAAAAGATTATTTTCCAGCTGCTTTACAAAAGAAATCCTAGGAAAAAAAGCTTATGGTTTGAATGACTCGGGTTATCCTGAGCTACATCTAAAGTTGTGCTGCTATAACCTTAGAATGTGAAGGACCACATTTCCTCTCTTTGCTATGTCATATCTCTGTTCTCCTACTCTATTATTTGTTACTTCAACCAAACTATAATGTACTCTTTTTTTTTGTCATAATAGCTCATTTGGTCTTGTTCTGTTTAGCGCTAAGAGTATTCCAGAGGGAGACATTAGCTGCGAGGATTTGCAGTTAGAAGGTGTACCCATATCTGCTTACCTTTGCTAGGCTGGTTATCCTGCAGGCTGTAGGTGTCTAGAAAAACACCACTGTCACTTTGGAGCTTTTCTGCTTCTGGAGATGTTCCCAGCTCTGCCACACGGGCCTTGGAGAGAGCCTTCTTCTGTTTGCACGACTGCCAACTGAGAGAAGTGTATGAAAGCAGTTTAAGCTAGCGCATGTCCCATGGCCAGTCATGCCCTCCTTATTACAGGACATAAACAGAGTGACAAACTCACCATTTATAAGCCACGTAAACCAACAAGCCCAGCACCACAGCAGCAGGAACGGACACATAGGCCAGAATGTTGTTGCTGTCCCCCTCGTCCTGCGGGGTCAGCTTGGAAGGTCCGAGTGTGGGGTTACCACCTTCCCCCTCCTCCATCAGCAATGTCCCGTTTGGGATGTTCAAGGCAGGGCGAGACAAAATGTGCAGTTGCTTATCTGTTCGAAAAGAAGACACGTCAAGGATCAGCGGCACACATGCTCAACAGAACATATTTGGACCAGATGTTAAGATAGCTTCTGTCATGCTGGTTGATCCCCTGGGCTTTTTAACCTTCCATTGCCCCTGTTTTTAAGCTGCATCCACCCTCCTGCCGTATGGCTATTTCTGGATCAAACAGTAGAGGATACTTGGCCAACCTGAGTGGGGTCAAAGGGTCATGACACAGACTCTAAGTAAGTGCAGATAACTCCTGTCTAAGGGAGCAATGTAGCCATTCGGGGGTCTAATCACAAGCTGTCAAGGTCAGCTGCTTTTCTTGGCCTTCAGGAGCATTTGACCTAAAGACCTTCAATCAATTGGACTGCAACAATAAAAAGGGCTTTTGCAAGGTCTCATGTTTCTTGGTGCGTAATCTGCAAATACAAACTTAACAAAAGCGGCGCAGGCTACATGTAATTTCTCCATTAGAGTTGAGCTGTCGATGCAGGCGCTGACCGCATGCCCTGGTCTGCCTCATCTTCTCTACATTACACTGATGTTTTATCTTTTATTTCCCACTACTGTGACCTCCAGCATCATACCTTGAAAGATGGCACTCTTTGTAGTGCAGGTCTTGTATTTTACAAAGCTTCCAAACACATTAAATCTCTATTAGAGGCCAGTGTGATAAACAGTAGGTCATCAAAGCAAGAGAGTGTAACAGGTTTTATCCAGCTGGAACCAAATCTACTGGGGATGTCTGGATGGGTCCTGTGGAGTTGTCAGGATTAAAAATCTTCCCTGATGTCGATTCTTTATCATTTACAATGTCAGTCAACAGAAAAAAAAAAGTCTAAAGCATTCAGCTAGGTTTAAAGCCAAAGAGTAGTTTTATAGGATTAAAAAAACTTTCTTTGCTCTAAAAAAGCATTTCTTTACAGTTATGCATTTCTTTTTTTATAGGTATAAGTACTGGTAACCATGCTAACCTGGATGCATGTTTTATTGTAACAGCTTTACCTAAAAGTAAAGTTATTTATAGTTAATGTGGTTTTCTATTGTGGGTAAAATTCTGACAACTCAAATGTTCCACAGAATGAAATAAAAAAATAACAATTTATTTTAAGAAAATGAACTTTTTTAGTGAGTTTTTGCTAAACACCAGAAAAAAACTTATTGTTATATTAATAGTCTAGTTTTAATTGCAAAGATTATCTAAATTTTTATCCTAACTGGATAAAGTCAACTTTTTTTTTACAAGAGTTTTTGTTACACCAATATCAGAATTAAATCTCAAGAGTCACGTTTCCTCACAGAGGTTATTCTCTTTATATCACTCACCCAAGCAGACAGTGTCAGAAAAGAACAAACAGGCCCGGATCTCCACCTCTTCTTCAGAGCACTGAGTGCAAAGCTGGCACTCTTTGGTATGGAAATCATCCTCCATAAAGGTTCCCGGGCCACACTTCTGGCAAACCCTGTTTCCTTGATGGTCGCACTCCCGAACCACCCCCTGACCCCGCCCACATTTGGAGCAGGGCGCGCACAGAGATAAGGAGCTCAAAAAGTAATAGCCAGTGTCACAGTCGCATTGGATGTCCTGGGATGCTGAGCAAGAAGCCAACATGGGGACACCACGTGGACACGTGCTGCAAGGACGGCAAGCTTCAAGGCCTTCAGATGGGGAAAAGGTTCCTGGACAGACAAGTTTAAAAGAATAATCAGTGCACTGTCATCTTAAAGACTCTAATGGTAATTTATACTATTCTAAGATGAAAAAAGTTGATTTATTTTCCCTAAATGCTGTAAATGCAAATATGGGGAGATATCATCTGTCCCGGGGAATGACAAAAAAATGGCAGCCTTTCAACTTCAAATTGATTTTTATTTTAATTTAATGTCTTACAAAAGTTTTATCTTTTCAACAAGGGATTTGTAGTTGATAAATATATTCCTGCCAAGTGGAAACCAACAATACACGCAACACTGGAAATATTTGAACATTATCCAGCAGAAAAAGAAGAAAATAGAAATAAAAATTAAATGCCAGTATATGAAAAAAAGGTATTTTAAACAAAGGTGCACTAATCCGATACTTTGATTGGATTTCAGTCATTTGATATTAGATATCGAGGATCCAATCCAGTGCACCTTACCTCGAAATGTTACTTCTTTATTTTTGCTGCTTATTTGTTAACAAAATAATATAAAGTACATTTATATCTGCCTTCATTTTCAACAATGTTTATTTTAAGGCTAAAACTTCACAAACATAGCAAGATATATGGTTTATTCATTCAACATTTGAATCATATCGGTATCAGATATCGGCTGATACGCTCAGGTATCGGTATCGAATGGGATTGGACCAAATTGGATCGGTGCATCTCTACTTTTAAACTGTCAATGGCTAGCATATTGCTCTTTTTAATATAAAATATGTGAAAGATAAACGTGAAATAAAAGTTTTTTTTACAATAAGCACGTTAAATCAAACCTCTTAAACTTAAGCTCGCATTTCTTCAGTTCTAATGTGTTATTTGTATTGTATGAATATTAACCTTTTAAGGTCAATAGTGCATAACACAACAAGAACATAGATGCTATTCTTCACTTAGCGTAAAAAACAAAACAAGTTTCAGCGAAGACTGGCTTTAAAAAAATAACTATACAAATTAAGGATGTGACAATATTACATTTAAGACCCACAAAAGAGTGTTTGGTTTTAAGACGTTTTAAGTTATAAATTGAGACTAAGAAAACTGAAGCCTTTTCAAAGACTGTCCACTGGAGCAAATTGCTTTTGATTTAGTAAAACCTAAAGAAGAGAAACAGACTAAACATAAAATGTACTTTAATTAGCTGACTGTGCTATCATTGTGCTTCTAGATTTAACTGCTGCCTTTCAAACAGTTGATCCTAGTATTTGAATTTCTCCTTTGAAGCAGTGTGTGGGCCCCTGGGCTGCTGCATTGCTGTGATTTAGGTTTTATCTGGCAGAGGAAACTTTCTCAATCAAACTTTGGATTTTGTGTCCTCTGCCTTCAGTCGGGGGTCCCACGAGGTTGTAGGTTGTCGATCTTGTTTTTCTGGCTTAATACCTTAAAAAATCTTGAATTAAAGATGGACGCAAAACTTAAACTTGGGGGGAAAAAAATTATTAGGAGGGTAAAGAAGTTGATTTTTCCCTATTTCAGGCAACTAGCTAAAATAAAGCCTTTTACTCTGAGGCAGCATTTTGAAACAGGGATCCATGCATTTGTCACATATAGGCTGGATTACTGTAAATCTCTATATTTTGCAGTTAGTGATGCATTTATTAGGCACATGCAGGTTGTGCAAAAGGATGACTTTTACCTAAAACAAAATGGTCTGACCACATAAATTATTCTCTTCTTTGGCTGACTGTATGTTTTAGGATCTGCTTTAAGGTTCCTCTAGTCCAAATTTAAATCTCTGAATTTTTTTATTTTTTTAAATTATTTTCTTTGTATTACTTTTAATTAATGTATGTGTTTTTTTTAATAGCATATCTAAATTTAACTTATCTTTTTTCACTTTTCTACTTTACTGCGATTGTATTACTGCTATTTAAAGTGCTTTATAAAGGTGGTATTTGATGGTAATTACATTTAAAAGAAGACAGATAAGCAAAAAAACTATATACAAAGTAAAAAAAAAAACAGCTGGGATATGGTGGCAGCATGCTGTAAAAAGAGAGCGTTTGTTAGTGCCTACCCTTTGGACACGGTTTGCATTTGGTATCCTCCTTCCCACACTCTACCTCCACTTCATAACCAGCAGGACACAATCTGCAGCAGTGTCCCGATTCAGTGAACTTGCCACTGGCACAAGCCTCTCCAAGAGCAACCTAGGGAAGACACAAATTAGTAAGATAAGCTTGCTGCTTTTAAGGAAAGAACAATACATATAAAACTGTATATTTCAGCCCATTTTCTAGTCTATTTCTGTGTGATCAGATCACAGAAACCCTGCTTTAGTACATCCTGTAAAGTTAAAAAACAATGACATCAGCTTTTTAGGGAGAAGTCCCAGCCTTCCCACCCCGTCGTGATCAAAGGCACATTGAAAACAGAAAACCCTTTTTCTAATCTTTCCATCTGCTTCAGTTTACACAAGTGCTCTGAGGCTTTATCTGCAAGTGGGTACTGGAGAGGGCCAGCCTGCGATATGACACAGGCAGCTGTTTAGTTTAAATGTTTACCACAGCTTCATGTTTGTTTTGTCTTATTTTGTTGACCGAAAATGTTTAAGATAGTTTGAATCCAAGATCTACAATTTTTATATTTGGAATTGTTTTGATTAATTTTAGACCCGTCCATTAAATCTAGAGATCAGGAACACACGGCAGGGGCAGTGAAGATGTTTTTTTTTCTTGTTTATATTTCTGCTGTGAGGATGAGAGGGTGTAGAAAGATGTTTTGACTACTTTTGATCATGTTTGAAGGCTCCAACATCAGATTAAGTTGATTTTCATGTTTATCTAAGCTGTGCGATATGTTTAGTTATATTTTTTCAATTCTTTATTTTTTGCTGGAAAAAATAAAAAAACATATTTTTCCAAGTCAGAAGTGTGTATAAAGAAATAAACCACCTGTTGCCACCCACAGACTTCAGGAAAATGTTGGTTTTGGAACATGGAATGCAGTGACAGGGCCATTACAACATTTCAATATACTTTAGACAGTTAACCTAAGACCGCAGCCCTCCCAGCTCTCTCTAGATATGCCAAACTGAGTTTCATCATATATATCATGGCAATAAAAATATCTATTAAGTCATGAATTTCATTGTAGCTCTTGCTGGATACTTGAGGTTGCTGTTCTGCTGTAAGGTGACGAACATCTGGCCCAGCATTCTGTAGCCTCTAACAGGTTTCTTAGGGCAATACTGATGCGTCTGGAAAAAGAGGCCCCTCCTTTGAAGGCAGTAAGCCCTCCAGGTGTGTCTATGAAAATCAGTTTTTCACCAACAGCCTGCAGCCTCAGTGCAATGGTATTTTAAATATGCAAACATTAAAAAGGTGATTGGCCCCTTCTGCCTGGGGGCCTGACCTCAGCAAACAGATGTCTAACAACTAACCTCCTGCTGAGGGGTAACACAGCATCTAAACAGCTCAGGGATGATGATGATGATGTCTCTCTTTGTCTCTGAAGTCTGCCAGGAAGCTCCGGGGAACATGTGTGGACCTGTAGAGCCTCCATTAAAACCCCACCAGTGACGCACACACACTGAGCAATGCCCCTGGTCACAAAACACTAAAATGTTCCAAGCTTATACGACAGCTTTGAAACGAGGTTCACATCGTTCCAACAACAACAGTCAGTCCGACTGCTGTGCATCAATGAGGAGTCGGTGATATCTGAACTGCTGCCACAGATCCTGGATCAGAGGAATTATGGTATCAGGGCGGCTGGATCAGGCAGGAACAAACCAGTCTGAAGTTAGCTCACTGCAGAGGGACGCGGGAGCAAAACGAATTAAAAAAAGCATCACAGCTGGTCCTCTTTCATGTGACAGATGAGTCTCTTCTTCAAACACTTGCCAACATCTTTAGCTACTAAAATCTGCTTTGGTAAATATTTGGCAATGGCGCTTTTTTATATTTACCTACAGCCTGGATTTTTAGAAAAAGCAGCTCAGTTAAGAGAAAGAACCGCCTAAAAGTTTGACACTGGAATTACAGATTGAATGCATGCCCCCCTGGAGGAAAACGGCAGAATTTATAATATGTACGAGATTAAGCATTACCATATGAGGACAATATTGCAAGTTTGAAGTTATAAGAAAAAGAAAGAGGAAATGCCATAAAGGAATTAGACAAAAATGAACTTGGACTCATTTCCTCGCAAAAATCTAAAGTTTTTTCTGCTTTGTTTTTCTTAAATGACTTATCACTAGACATTTGGTGAAATACCAACATTTCACATGAAAAAGGAAACGACTTTTATCTATAAAAACGAGTCAGTCAGCCTCCAAGTGAGGCTTAGTTATAAAAGAAGAAAGTCAGCCTCACTTTGTTCAACATAATTTGTTTTATGCATCATTTACAACAAGTCATACCTGCTGGGTATTTACATGCTAAGAATAACAAGACATACAGTACCTTCTGGGTGGAGCCCAAAGGCATCTAATGGATGCATGAAATAATATTCCTAAATTAGTTCCTGTAAACATGGACCAAAAAATAAAAACTGCGGAGCTGCAAATAAACTTTCTGTCAAATGAACAACTTACAGTTATATATTTGCATAATTGACAAAAAAGGGACATTTTAGCTCCTAAATCATGATTCACAAAAGGAATTCAGTTTTCTAGACAAAGGAGAAATTTAAAAACAGAAAATAAACATTAGTCTTTATATTTAATGGAAGAGAACCTTAGATTGTGAGACAGAAACATTTTTGTCTGATAAAATAAACTTCTAGCACACCGAATGTAACACAAACTGCAACAGCTTTCCGTTTCTAATGTCTTTTTCATGTCCTAGCTTGATTTGCTTTTCTAATTACAAAACCTTTTCATTTTAATAATAATCTTCTGCCTTATACGTCCAATTTTGCAGGAATATTTAGTTGTTGTTTTTTTTATCTCAATCTCACGAGTTAAACTACACAGTTGGTGCTTTTTAAATATTGATTAAAATGATGTAAACATTAAATTTGTTGCATTTAAAGCACAGAAGCCACAGTCATGTCATCATGTACAAACAAAACTTATTTTCCCTTTCCCTCTGAGCTAACCACATTCATTTCAATAATGTTGCAATCTGATTAATTGCCTTAACCGACATCTTCAAACATTTGAGATTTTTCTCATGTCTCAATATGAATACATTTTTTTTTTCTTTTATCAAAAGATATGGGAAACTATAATAGATGCATCTGCTTTTTAGCTATTTTTCTGAGAGCTTTTTTGGCTACAAGGCTTGATCTGTCAAACAGGTATTATAATTGAAAGAATCTATTTGAAGCTTTTGCTTTCTCTGTAGTTAACTCTATGGAAACAGCAGAGGCACATAGTAGCAGATCAGACGAAGAATGATGAATCCCTAAGGTCCTTTGTCACCTAGTTGCGAAATGATTTGCCCTTTTTATTCAAGACATGACTTTCAGACATATATCTCATCTCCAGTAGATCTTTTTTTCCAGAACTGTTTATCTTTTCCGCTTCACGTGTCCTGCTTCTATATTCTAAACACTTGTTGCTTGCAAACATAGTCAGGTACATACATTTGGGCAAAACTAAAAGTAAAAAGCAGCTAAACCTTTAAGGGAAAATTAATTATAAAAGCATTTTTATATCTGTTTTCAGGGATGCAAAGTGTCAAGAAAAGATTAGGAGTTGTTTTAACACTTTTGGCTAGAATTTGGTTAACTTATCCATTTAACCATAAAAAGAAAATATTTGGCAAATACAAGAGCATATTACAGAATCGAGAAAATAATTATAGTGTCATAGTGTAAAACCAAGGATGAGGCCCGTTTTCCTGTAAAAAAACATCACTAGCAGTGAGATCTAACTACCGGTAAATGAAATCATTTCAAGTACAAACTATAATCTATTTACACGCCTGACCAAACAGTGCAAATCAAAGCAAACCTGTACACACTGAATGACTAATATGACCGCAGTACACTTTGAGTGAGTGTGGAAAGTGCTTTTATGATGTGAATGAACTGACTTTACATGTATTATTCTGTATAGATTTTATTAAGTTTTCTAAGTATAACATCAACCCGTTCAGGGTGTGTGGGTGGAAATTAGTAAATCATTTTTGATAAGCTCATAACCTCCAATAACAGCCCTTCCGTACAGACCTGCTGAAATCTAGGATAGGGGGGCTTACCTGGCTGAGCTTACAACAATCAGAGTTAACTGTCTTTCCTTTTTGCTGAAATACATTTGTGAACAAACATAAAGAAAATGGAAACTTGTAGCATCAGATTGTATGTTAAAAAAGCCATAAATATAAATTTTTTCACCTTTAAAATCTTGATAATCACACACCCTCCGATTTAAAAATACACCAAACTAATAGAAATATCATTATTCACAAAAATATGTGTTTAAAATCTACAGTTTTTGTTAAATTTAATAAAATTAAACATTTTAATAAAAAAAAAACTATTCAAACATTTTCCGCATTATTATGTGGAGGGCCTTAGCAAGGGTATTGTTTAGGTTGGCTCTAGTTGTAACAAAATTATTTTTCCTCTAATAAAGTTTTAAAGTAAAGCCTTTTATCATTTAATTCCTAAATGCTTATGATTCCTCTTAGTAGTTTTTCCTGCCTGTTGTATATGGGCTCTAAATCTGAAGGAAAGAGAGCTGCAGTTGCCTCTTCCATTAAAGCAGAAAGCTGCGATCTAAAGGGATTCCCCAGTGAGACCAGGCGGACCACCGCGGAGAGCTGCTTTCAATGGGCCTCTCAACGCCACGGCTGCCCGAGTCATTCACTCAACACGGATCAGACCCACACACAGACACACCGTTCACTTTAACTTTCTCAGAACGTTAAACATTTCATGCCCTTCTCGGAAGTGACGAGTTCCAAGGCATGATCTGATCCACGGAAAAATAGACTCACAACAGGATGCCCCCCCGTGATAAAATGCTGATCCATGAGAATTTAACATCTGACTGAAGCTTCTGAAGCCAAGACAGCAGGGGCAGACGTAGATTTTAAGCTCCACATCCATCTTGGATGGGTAGAAACTTTAGAACATGAATGTTTTTTAGTTTCTGGAGAAAAAAAAACACTACTTTTAATTAAAGATAAGGAGAAATTGTCAGCTTTAACCATTCTGATGACAAATGATTCATGATTAAATAAATAAAGAACACCATAACACACAACAAAGAATGAGAAATACTGCTTTGTTCCAAATTGAAACACCTTGATGAGCTGTATTTTCAAAAGGAACAGTGATAATTTACAGGTGAGTGAAAAGAAATATGATTCTTAGAATAAAGAGAGATGCATTACCACCAATCATCCGGTAAGAAAGTGAAGAACATCTGACAGATAAGAAGCAACATCTTGGGTTTCATAGATTGCAGATTATCCTTTCAAAGAGATATCCATCTTTAGAAAAGGAGAGGTGTTTTCTAAATACTTAAATCTGAGTAAAGTGCTCTGACTGGGAAGAGCAAGTCTAGACAGGAGCTCCAACGCTGCCAGCTTTAGGAGAAAAACCAGAGTCCATTTTTTTTTCTTTTTCAGAGAAGGAAGGGAATTTTTTTCACCCTGATAAAGTATGCAATTAAAACATCAACCAAACTATAATTTCATCATAAAATAGATCATTTACTTTGTATGTGGTGGATAATGGTGCTTAATTGCCCTTGTGTTTTGGCTAGACCCTCAGCACATAATGGTGGGCTCTGTGGGTTTGATAGGATTGGGAGTAAAAACTTCATCAGAGGTATTTTCACACATTTCCAGGACGATCTGTAACAATGGGGGTCTTCAGACTTGGGTCTATTGTATTAGCAAACAAACACAGGTGTTTGGAGCCTAAAAGAAACAAACATAGGCATCAATAGAGCAACAAGATTTTAGTTTTGATTTTAAGCCCAAGTACAAGATCTGCACAGGGTCTTTTCTTCCTTCGTTATTTTACTGCTTTCATCTGATTTCATACCGAAGGTTTCAGAGTACAACATGGAGCCATGTGCCGTGAGTCGTTTCCTACTAACCAAAAGCAAATTTCATACCCGCTTTGACAACCAACGATTTAAAGCAATTTTCTATAATCTCCTCATAGTCTGGTAAGGAAATGTGGTTTTCAGACACATGAATCAAATCTACCAGCAGAGGGTTTCTGCGATCTAAAGTAGTTTAGCTTGATCAGGGGGCTCATATTATGTCATATAAGAGCCAACTGGTTCACAGGGAGATCAGGGATCAAACGAATGGGAAAAGGAAGCTTCCAGAATGTTAGGATTATTTTTCTCCATGAGTCATGAGAGTATTACACTTCATAAGGAAAATAAAACAGAGGAGTCATGGTTTGAATTCATGGCCGTGAAAAGTTTCTTTTTACTGATACAAACTGCAGGTACAGTAGCCAAAAGGTTCAACTGACCCAGAGCTATCAGTTATTATTATTCAAAGCAGTGCCCTCCCCTTTTTCTACAACATGTTTTGTTTTAGAGTAGGTTTGCATTTTAGAAGTATCCCAGCTTGCATTTCTCCACAAAGTGCAGAAGGATAAACCTCTGTTATAATGGTTAGTCACAAATAATGCATTTATTTAAACATGAATTTGATTCTTAGATGAGCTGTTGAGTGTATACAAAAGGACATTTAAATGCATACATTTTTTCGACAGTGAACGAGCCGCCTACAAGAGTGAAATGAACATTCCCATTTTTAAAGTGCAGCGGTGATCCGAAGAATATGGTGCAAAATGCAGTAGAAACATTGAGTTGAGTTCTATTTAGTGGGATTTGAAAAATCGCCATGTAGTGCAAGCACCATGTTTACAAGTGTGATGCAGAGTCTCAATTTTTGACTTGATTAGAGTTTCAACAGTTCAACAGTCTGATGGCAGGCCGGGAAATAATGTCCAAAAGCAAAGGTATTATTGTGTCAAAAGGAATCATAATCTGCCTGTTAAAACAGACTCAACTAAATCATCTAAAAGAAAAAAAAAGAAAATATATTTATTATTATTTATTTATTCTTTCTCTTGCAATAAGATTTATTCTGTCTTAATATCATTCATTACAATAAAAAAAAAACAATAAAAAACATGCAATTATTTCATAAATTTGAGATGGTTTTAGATTTACACACCGAGGCATAAAGGTGAGGGGTGAACAATCCTTATTGCTTATCTACTATTACAGAATTAACTTTGATTTTGATGTGATTTTTGATCTAAGTGATAGAAGTTAGGAGGAACCTCCAGATCAACGCTTGTTTCAGGCCCCAAATAATCTTGAATCGCCTCTGCATGCAGACATAAAGCAAAATGTAGCTGGTTCCTTAGGAAACCAAATACAACACATGACTTTCATCCTGCTATTACTATTTGGCAACAAGCACACCATCGGAGAGGACTGGTGTGATCCATATGGTTGTGGTGTGAAACAGAAATCCTCTGGGAACAATGGTGCGCTCTAATCTCAGCGGGATGGGTGTACAGAAAAACTCCTCAGGCTCATCTGAGGATAATTACCTGAACTAAGAAATAAGAGGGATCGAAAAAAATTTTTTTTCAGACAGCAGGGACCAGGAAAGATAAGAATATTTTCTATTTTACTTACTTTTAACAGCAGAACCGCAGAGATGATGATCAATCTCATGTTTCCACTCTTTACAGCCCTCTGTCCCTCCAGTCACCGCGGTGCGTCTCTCCGTCTCTCTCAGTGTTCCTTTCCCGTCCTCAGCTCGCAATAATCGGCTTAAACCAGCCAGAAACCTCCACAGCATCAAATATAATCAAACCACGTAAAATCACTCCTTCCTCTCTCCCTTCATAGCTCGGTGATTGTTGTTTTTTACGCAAAAAAGGCGACTTCCAGATGCGTAAAATCCGTAAATGAATTCCAGTGAAAACCAGTGAAGGCTTTTTTTCAGCTCATTCCGCCATGTAACAAGTGACAAAACAGTTCCCTCTGTCTCAGGATGTACTGCAGGACCGTTTTCTCTTTCTTTTCCTCTTACAGCTTCTGAACAGATGAGGCAAAGGAAAAAAAAAAAAAAATCTCCTGAATGCTCTAAATTTTCTCCTCCCATCTCCTCAGCTTTCAGCCCTGCTCTGTGATTGGCTGCATCACAGAGAAGCAGAAAAGGGATTCCAGTCTGCAGCAGATTATGTCTTCATGTAAATGGTTAAAACAAAAATAAATATGCAGTACACATTAAAAGTGTCCGTATGGAAGAGGATTAGGACCACTGAAAATTTAAAAAAGTTAACAGATTTTTAGATTTTAGTATTATATGAGAAAATAGTCAGAATTCTGACTTTAATCTCAGAATTATGACTTTTATTTCTCAGAATTATGACTTTAATATCAGAATTCTGACAAAAATCTCAGATTTCTGACTTTTTTTCTCAGAATACTGACTTTAATCTCAGATTTCTGATTTTTTTCTCAGAATACTGACTTTAATCTCAGAATTCTGACCTTTTCCTTTCAGAATTCTGACAGAAAAAGTCAGAATTCTGATTTTAATCTCAACATTTTGGATCTTAATCTAGATGGGCACCATTAAGGAGTAGATGTGGGACCACTCGGAACCACTCGGCTTCACTGACAAAGATGTGAGTTGTTTGAGAGGGCAAGTGACACTTTGGTGGGAAATTACGGAATTAGGCAACTTTTTACGTGCCCGAGGGGTCCCCTGTGATGCTATTTCATT